GTTCTGGCCCCCGCCCCGCCCGGCTTTTGCACGCAACCATAGGCTCCTAGAGCCAACCCTGGCCCTGGCTCCCAGTTTCTCCCCCGCCCCTGCCAGGCTTCCATCCAGCATCCAGATGGGAATTCAGAAAATACCACACATTGCACATTGCACGTGTCCGGTATTTTCTGAATTTTCCTACCGGACAGACGGTGCAAATACCAGACTGTCTGGTAGAAAACTGGACACGTGGCAACCCTAAGCAGCAGCAGCTCTAGCACAAGCCAGCAGACTCAGGGCCAGCCCACAACATTTTGGCACCTGAGGTGAGGAGCTCAAATGATGCCTCCATGTCCCCTCGCTTGGGCCAAAACTTTGAAAGGTCTCAGTTCTGCCTCCTTCCTGTTCTACATGTTTTGTTTGTCTATAAAGTGCTACCAGACCATTTGCTTGCTGGTTTTTTTCTGTAACCGACTAACTCGGCTACCCCCTGATATCCCAATAAAGGAGAACTAACAACTTAAAATGCCTTGTTCAAAAAGTGTGAACTAGTGGTGCCTCCCCCAGTCTGGCACCTGAGGCGGCCACCTCAGTTCACCTCATGGTAAGGCCAGCCCTGAGCAGACCGTGTCAGAGACGAGCCTGGGGTTCAACTCGACCCACTGCCTTGTCTTGTCTCACGTCCCAGCTTGGGTGAGCCAAACGGAGCCAAGAACACACCCCTTTCCCCTCTGCTACAAGCAGCACCATGGGGGGGTGAGCGGTGGGCTGGGCTAGCCTCCCTGAATATGACCCATACATACCCAGATCCACTAGCCCTTCCCACCATCTGTGCAACCATGGCTGCCATTCCCAGCGTGCTAACGGGCTCAAAACCAGCATGAGCACATCACCCCAATTTCCAGCGTAGACGCACACACCAGGAAGCCAAGGCCCCTATCCAAGAATCATCCCATCAACTTCTCTGGGACCAGCTGTGCAGCAAGGTGTACGAGCCAGGGTATCAGAACCTGGCTCAGGATTTGATGCAATCTGCCCGACTGTGTGTCCTTGACTCACCGTGGGGTGAAACGCTCCCCTGTGCAAAGGGACTGCGCTGCTTCCGGCCTATTTTGAGGGGTGAACTTGAGAGGACAGCAGGGACGGCAGCCCCCCCAGGGTAAGCGAGGCTTGCACAACTGGCTCCGAATTAACCAAAACCAAGTTAAGTTAAAAGTAAATTGGCTTTCCTCCTCCCTACCCGCCGAGATTTAACTACTTCCCGAAACTTACAAAAACAGCCCGCAAGGCGGGAGAAAAACTCTGCCCACCTCAGGTCAGCCTTTCCCCCTGAAAGAAGGATGCTCTAGACCAGGCATGTCCAAAGTCCGGCCCGCGGGCCAATTGCGGCCCGTGTTCCGGTTTAATACGGCCCCATAGGTAATTTGGCAATATCTATCTTTTATGGCCCCCAACGAATCCAAATGTATTGAGATGAATACATTGTAAAATCTCAGTTAATGTCAGTTGGTCTAAATCAGTTATAAATATATTTGGACACAACATGTATACTTGGTGTTATGTTCCTGTTCATATTTTTTGAACTTAAAAGTTGACAGACAACCTTTATTACCAATAATATGTAATGTACTTTACAATGTTCCTGACGTATATTTCAGCTTCCTGGATTTTTTTTTTCATCTGGCCTTCAGATATGAAAGGCAGAGTGATTTAACACCTGTTTAGATTTGTCATCCATGTGACGAAATGAAAAGTATGCCGTTTGCAATAAACTTTGCATAAAATAGTTAATTTGCATTTAATTTTAATGGTTCAAAGAATGTCAGGCAAAATGGTCGGCCCTCGCGCATGTTCACTTCATCAAATCTGGCCCTCTTTGAAAAAAGTTTGGACACCCCTGCTCTAGACCTTCAGGAGCCTGCTGCCTTCAGCTCAGGAGGCTGGGATTCAATTCCCAGCTGCACTCAACTTCCTGTGTGACCCCAGCTCCCTGGGTTCAGTTCCCCAGCTGTAAAATAGGAAGGCTAGCACGGCCCTAGAGGGGTTGCTGGGGGGGTAATGACAATGGTGAAAGCAAGGTGCTCAGAGGCTCTATGGTGTAGGGATGTGAAAGTTTAAGCAGGTAAATGATACGCCTGGGCTGATACAGAGGCAGGAGCTGGTAGGTGTAGGGAGCCTGTTAAAAGCCAGCTTCCTGCACATACTGGCTTTCGGGGAGCTGCTTGCTGCCCTGTGTGGAACTGCTGACATTTCAGTGGTTGCATGGTTACTTAATTACATGCATTTTAACATCCCTGCCCTGGCAAGGCTGGTCAGGTAGGTGTCTAATAAACATCAAAAGACATGCTTCCTTTCTGGTGTAATCTCGCAGCCATGGTGAAATTGCCACAGATCCCTGCTGTTTGTATCTCTATTCTGTCCCCGGAAGTACTGGCTCCCAAGATCTGTTGTCTGCTTTACCCGCTTCCTTTGAGGGTTGGCCCAGTGGATTCCACCTGTTTTCTTAGCACAATTAACCGCCCCCTTCCCTACCTTCACTTTCACCAGGGCAGAAGCGGTATCTTGGTTCACAGCAATGTATCAGCCCCTCCAAGAGCCTGGCTGAAAATCGATCTCCAGTCCTGAGAAGCGCGTTCAGGTTGCTGTTCTCACAACCTGCCAGCACCGTAAGCTTGACATAAAATCAAACCCTGGCGGCTCATGGGCATTAAAGCATCCATGGCACTTACTGTAAGAATCTTACTCCCCGTCCACAATGGGGCCTAGTCTTCCTTGCACAACTCTGCTGGCACAAAGCAGGCAGAAACCCCGTGTATCTGGCTACCTGGGGTACGCGCTTCAGCATGAAAAATAGCTTAGGTGCCATCGTGCCAGATTGATTTCCCAAGCCCAAGGGGGTGGCCAGGGGAAAGGGGGCCCAGTTGCACCTGGCAGACCAACTCCTCAGGGATCAGCAGAGCTGTGCGCAGGAAAGGGTTAACTTCTCAAACAAAGCTGCATTCAGAGGCTGCCAGGAACTTGTTCTGCCTTCAGGGCATGCTCAGCCAATGAACATTTCCCCTTCTGATGTAATGTGGCTGGCTCGAGTCTTGATGGTGGGGTCTGATGGAAGTTCAGAGCCCTGCCTCTCCCGCTGAGCCATTCAGATCAGAGCCCCAGAGGAGCAGAGGAGGGGAAACCCTGACTGGGCCCCGACCAGCTCACCTACCTGGATTTTACTTTGTCCCATTATCCTTTGATTTGATTTTTACATGAGGTCACATGAGAGATGAAAAGGTCATGGGAGTCATGGGAGTTGGACTCATAGTGGGGCTGATGAGTAATGCCTGGCAAACCTGTACACCTAGCAACAATTAAGGAGGACACCTTTGCCATGATGTAGGTGATAAATACACTAGCAGTTCTCATTACCTGGACTAACCTGCCAGGCTACTGTGAGCAGAGGTCTCTGGTCAAAAATGAGTAGCCAGGCTAAACTCCACACTCCCGAGTGCACCAGCGATTTTCTAGGCTGCCTGGATTACCCTCAGCTGACTAGAGTTGCCAGGTGTCCGGGTTTGAACCGGGCCCTCCAGAATTTGAGCTTTCTGTTAAGGAAACAAATTGAGAAAATAGAAATGAGAAAAGATAAATGTCCGGTATTTTCTAAATAAGATGTGATGTAAATTGTGATTAATGGCCAGTGGGTCTGGTATTTTTGTTGGAACCATCTGGCAACCCTACTGACCAGGTTATAACAAAAACAACCGAGCTGTGTCCACAGCAACTTTCTTTATGACTTGACGGGGTCTCAGCATTAACCCCTTTTGTAGCAGTGCATTGTGGGAAAATCAGGTCTGCTCTCCCATGGTGCCTTAGCGGGGCAAGCGGGCAAGGGCCGTGCACAGAGAGCAGCACATGCAGCGTGAGAGGTTGTTGTGCACAGAGATCTACACTGCGGCAGAACCAGTCCGACAGGTTACACAGGCGCTCGCAGGCTTGTAGTATGAGGAGGATTCAGGTTTCGGGAGGGACTGAGCTGGATAGGAGGGCTCAGGGATGCATGCTGGCCTAGGCCCCACAAACATGAGCCTTCCAGCATTACACCCCCCCCCCCCAGCAATCAGGGCCCATTTTCTACCCCAGCTTCTCAGCCACCAAGGGCCTTTTTTCTCCCCTTCTTTCCCAGCACTGCAGCCAAGAGCCGGGAGGGATGGGAACGGTTTGGGTCAGAGGGCTACTTACCCGGTGTGCTGACAGGCAAGACGGCAGAGCCCAACCCTACTGCCCACTCATTGGTGGGACGGCTGCCCGTGGACACTCTGGAAGAGAGCTTGCCCCTGCCTGGTCCTGCCCCCAGCGGCCACTCTCACCTCACGTCCCTCCGAACAGCAGCCCCTCATTGCGGAATGGAGCATGCCCCTGGCATGTCGGGAAACAGCCCTTTTCCCCAGGGCTCCCATTTGTCCTGGCACAACCACACCCTGACCTTGCTTTCAGTTAGGAGAAGAGGAAGCTGCCTGCCAAATTTGGTGGCTCTCACTTTTCCCGTTTAGGAGGAGTTCTTGAACAAATGGACTTGCAGACAGACACACTCTAAAAATAGACAGACAGGGCGGGTGGGATTGGATAGATAGATAAAGGGTGTGTGGGGGGATAGATAGATAGATAGATAGATAGATAGATAGATAGATAGATAGATAGATAGATAGATAGATAGTGTGCATGGGGATGGATAGATAGATCAGTATAAACAAGTTATTGTCTGTATGAAATTTCTTCACAAGTGGTTTTCATGTGGCCTGTTGTAAAACTAGGCAAATATCTAGATGAGCTGACGTGCCCCTGGAATACCTCCGGGTACCCCTGTGGGCACACCTGCCCTGGTTGAGAACCTTTTGCTCCGAGTCACCTTGCCAGTGCCACCTCTACACACTGCCTTAATGCACCCTCCAGTTCTCCAGCCCAAAAGGTTTCTGCAGCACTTCCCAGGGGGCCCACATGAGGACAGCAGCACTGGATAAAATAAAGGCCTATGCATCTTGTTGCCATTTCATAAACTACGCAGAGTACAAACTTGAGGCAGCACGAGGTGTCGTGCTCCTGATAGTTCCATCCCCACGTGTCCCCCTCTCTGTGTGACCTGCCCTCTCTTGCTGTGTCCGTACATGGTACTAATTAAATGTCATCTATGTTGTACATCACTGCTACTGCCACTGGTACATGCTCCAGGGCAGCCCCAGCCAAGGCACCATGACAGACCTCACAGCATAGAAGATGCAGGGTGACCCATTCCTGACTCTGGTTCATTGGCAAGGCAGTAAAACATCCTACAGCCGAACTATGTCTGTATTGAGTGCTGGTATTGTGAACAAGACCACAGCCCCGTTCAGTGGGCTCAGTGCTGTACAAACCCATGGGCTTTGTCTAGAGTACAATTTAAAGGAGTGTTGTTAGATGGGATTAGCTAGCCGAATCCAATACTTTCTAGAGCAGTGTTTCTCAACCTTTTTTTATAAAGTACCCTTTTTTCAAAAAAAAAAGTATAAGTACCCCCAGTACCGAGAGTTTTCAGACACACTGTTTCTACCATTGCAACACATTTGTTTAAACAACTTGATTGTAGCTGGGCAGGCGATGAAATTTTTGGGTGTAAAAAGGACAAAAATAATAAAATGCTGTAAAACTTAAAACACAAATAAAGTTTTCTCTACTCCCCCCCCCCCCCCCCCAGATTTCTCTCGAGTATCCCTAAAGGTTACTCGTACCACTGGTTGAGAAACACTGTTCTAGAGCAAGTATCAGAGGGGTCGCCGTGTTAGTCTGAATCTGCAAAAGCGGCAAGGAGTCCTGTGGCACCTAATAGACTAACTGAAGTGTAGGAGCATAAGCTTTCGTGGGCAAAGACCCACTTCGTCAGATGCATGTAGTGGACATTTCCAGAGGCAGGTATAACTATGCAGGCCAGGATCAGGCTGGAGATGACGAGGTGGATCCAATCAGGAAGGATGAGGCCCACTTCTAGTAGCTGATCTGGAGGTGTGAATTCCAAGAGAGGAGAGCAGTAAGTCATGACACGGCGAGTGGTGCTATGCTGGGACTAGTGTTGCCCCCAGTTTGATGTGGTTCCCATCATATACAGGGTTTATAGTTCAGGTCAATGGCTCTCAGCATTATACAGATTGTTGCATCACCCCTGACTGTAGTTGGGGGGTGTGTGTGTCCGTGTGTGTGGTGTGGGAGTGCTAGCACAATGGGCCCTCTAAGCTTTAAGGCAACAAATCATATTCATAATAATAAGCCATTGATCTCCTATGATCAGAGAGTTCATGGCTAAAAATAAGCCAGCAGAGAAGAACACTCACTGTTAATTCCTGCCCCCTTAGGTGCAAGAGTAAGGAAGTGAACAAACATCATTCTTCCCATTACACAGGTGGGAAAACTAAGGATTGGTTCACTTAAGAGTCTGTCCTATAGTGAGTCAGCGCCATCATGATTAGAACTCAGGAGGTTGTGCCCTAGGGTCCAGGCTCAATCTACTTCCGCAGGGAGAAGGGCCAGAAGTTGTCGCGGTGACTCAGCAGGTGGCGTTTATGCCTGTGAGTCAGGACAGGTAATGTTTGTACAGGGTTTTGAAGATGCCAAGTATTATGCAGGCCATGAGTATTGCTCATGGTGCTCAGATGTTTTGCTGCTGGAAGCACTGGCTTTGGCAAGATTTAAACCACAGTTCCTGGCCACTTACAGGCACTGGACATCATGTGAGATTCTCACCAGAGCTGAGGCACTGCTGTACCATGCTCGCCATATTCCAGGCATCTTGACTCTGAAATTCCCCCTGCATCTTCATGGCTGGCGATGCTCCCTCTGAAAGTATCGCTGTTGGGTGCTGCTGTGTCCCACCCCATGCGCAGCTGCATTTCAGTGGCAAGCAAAATGCGGCTGATCTAGGGTGTCTATTTTGGGAGCCATTCTGAGAGCCTTTGGGGTCAAAGATGTTCCAGCCAATAGCATATTCTTATCACCAGGGCTCAACAAACCGCGGCGAAATCCGCATGTGCACGCCGCTGGTGAACGGGGTGACCGGCTGATATCTACTCACCACGGGCGAATAGATACACGGATTTGTTGAGCCGTGCTTATCACAGACTCTTAAAGGCAGCACTGAGCTTATGAGTAGAAAGAGCTGATTTTTAGCAGGTCAAATTTCGAGCAGTTGCAATGCTCATTAATTCCAGCTGAAAAGAAAGAAGCAGCCTATGATTACACTACACAATTTGCGTACCTTTTTCTGATAGTTTTTTTCAGAAGAGGCTTTTCCGAAATCTGGCCCATCTACACTGGGCCAAATTTCGGAAACCCTTCTCTTTTGGAAGAGCCCTTCTTCCTCGTGGGAGGAGGAAGACAGGGCTTCCGAAAGAGTGCGTCTGCTCTTCCGCAAAAAAAAGTGGAAGAGCAGCTGCATTCCCTGGACACGGCGAAGTTTTTCCAGTATCCCGAAAAAAACCCATAATGTAGACATAGCCCCAGCCAAGCTGTAGATTCAGGCATACGGGCAAAGAAGCTATTATTGACATTGTAGCACAGGTCTGTAGCCTACACAGAACTCCCCCTCCTGGCTAGAGGCATTGGCTAATGCCATTGTTAATTCGAGTGTCTGTTCTCAAACTGATTTTAGAACTGGTACTCAACTGAATTCAAAGT